ATTCAGTGTAACAAAAAATAATTGAGTGGTTGGTAGACACAGCAGGACCTTATCTTGTTATATCTATAACAGAGTTTAATGAAACATCTTTCATTATCTTTTTTTATACATTCCAACTGAAAGATATGCTGCACTTTTTTTTTTTTTTTTTTGGCGGAACCAGGGATTGAACTCAGATCCTTGCGTTTGCCAGTCAAGCGCTTATCCTACTGAGCCATCTCCCCAGCCCTACACTAAGTTTGGAGCCTGACTTTTTACAAATATGCATTAGGAGCCAGGGAGATAGGTCAGTGGTCTGAACACAAAATGCCTGCCTGGTTAGTGCAAGGTCCAGAGTTCGATCACCAGTATTGCCTCCCCACAAAAAATATAGTGGAAGTTGACTTTGGACAGTGTATAATGTTTAGTGACATCATCTTGTTTTCTCTGGAAACCAAGGACCACTTCTAAATGCAGCAGTATTTCAGACAGCTAAGCTAGATAAAAATGGTATGTGCAGGGCCAGGGAGACAGCTCAGTGATACAAGCCTGCCTGACATGCACAAGGTCCTGCGTTCAATCCCCAGTACTGGAAAAAAAAAGGCTGTATGCAGTTGTCAGGCAGGGCAGGCCAGCTAGAGAGGCTAGAGATCAATATAGAAGATGTTAGCACCTTATAACTGTGGCTGGAGGAGCATCTGGTAGAGGACAGGCCTGAAGATAAAGCCAAGTGACCAGATGGGCCTGTCGCCCAGACAGGTGGATAATTAGCATTAGCCTAGTGGGCAGTGGGGGGCCAGGAGCCCTCATTTGTCTGTTTTTAAACGATCTGTTTATGTGACCTATTTTTGCACTGGATCAATTTTATCTAAATGGCTAAGTTTATGACCTTATTTGTTGGTTATAGCTTTGGGGTTGGAGAAATGGCTCAGTGGAATAAGTGCTTCCCTGGCAAGCACAAGGGCCTGAGTTCAATCCCCAGTTCCACAAAATACAAACAAACAAAACCTTTAGGATGTTGGTTATAGCTTTGTCTCATGTTGTGCTCACCTTGTGATTTTGCATCCCAAGTGCTGGGATTACAGGCACATGCCACCAGGCCTGGCTTTTTGCTCTATAAACACTTTTTTCTATGAATGGGTGCCAAGACAGCTTACTAAGGAGCTCTCTTGTTTCTCAAGAACTATTTTTATTCTCCAGTAAATTTCTCTACTTTTTTTTTCCAGCAGAACTGGGGATTGAACTCAAGGCCCTTGCATTTGCCAGGGATGTGCTTATTCTACTGACCCATCTTGATTGTAGGGAACACAAACTTGGCTTATCAGTATGTGGGAGATTGAGAGTAACACTTATTCCCACTATATCAGTAGAACACACAGGATTATGAGGAGGACAGTTAGAATTTAATTTTTTTTTCAGAACCGGGGATTGAACTCAGGCTCTTGCGCTTGCCAGGGAAGTACTTATTCCACTGAGCCAACTCCCTGGCCCCTACAGTTAGAATTTGAAAAAGGGAGAGGAACAAAAGGTGTGGAAGACAGATCCAAAACACAAGATAACCAAGTATTAGAGTTGAAAATTAAATAGATTTTATTAAAATACATATATTTTAATTATGAAAGGATTTCACAATTAATATAAAAGCTAAAAGCCCTAGAAAAATTAAAAGAAGAAAATCATACCTACATGGAACATTCCAAGGGAAGCCAGAAGGCCTGACTGTTTTTGTTAGGAAAAAGGGAATGAAGAAGCAAGTAGGAACTCAACAGGACAGGTTTATTGCAGGATAAACTTGAGCAGGATGGCTCTGGAACTAGACACCAGAGCAGCAGAGCTCCTCTAGGCTCTGGGGTCTTTGCAGGGCCTGGTAGGGGTTGGAATCCAGTGAGGGGGCGTGTGGATGACTGCAGGAAATAAGCCTGGAGAGAGCAGAGGTAATAAGGCTTGGGAAAGGGAAGGAGTGCCTGCGCCGCTCAGGAGCTCGGCTGACAGGGCTGCGTCTCCTGGTGCTTCGGGCTGCGGCGGGCAGGTGGAGGGGTCTCTGAGCAGGACCGTGGATTCCTTCAGAAACGAGCACCATGTGTAACATGTGGTATCTCGCAATGAAAAGGAACATTAGGAAAACACTGAGGAAAGCTGAGTAAGACACGGGCGTTAGTAGACACTGGGTGTTTGGCATGAGTCTGTGATCCCAGCACTTTGAGTCTGAGGATCCTCCTGAGCCACATAAGAGAAGTCCAGGTCAGCGGGCACTATGGAAGAGGGCTGTCTTTAAAAAATATGGACATTAGTGAACATCAACGATGACTAGTATGTAACCAATTGTAATTCCCAGGTGAAGATCATTATTATATTAGTACAGTTGTGAGCGCCTTCACTTCTAATCTGCTTACAGTGTATAGTAGGTCGCTCTAAATGTGTATATAAATGCTTTAATTGTCAAATCATTGAATGAGGGGCCAGGGAGATGGCTCAGTGAAATAAGCGCTTCCTTGGCAAGGGCAAGGGCCTGAGTTCAATCCCCGGTTCCGCCAAAAAAAAGAAAAATCATTGAAAGAGATAAACACAGTCCCTGTGAAGTCATGCAGCTTGCTCAAGGCAACAGTGTAGCCCGTCATCAAAGTTACAATCTCAGTCAATTACCATTTGTCTTACTGCCTATTATAGTACCCCCTTCTTTCCTTCCTTTTTTCCTTCCTTACTTCATTTCTTCTTTCCTTCCTTTCTCTTTTTTTTCATTTTGAGGCTCTGTAGTTCAGGTTTGCCTTGAATTCACTGTATAGTGCAGGTTGCCCTGGAACTTGAGGCCATCTTTGTTCCTCAGCTTCTCCAGGGCTGGGATGGGATTATGGGAATGTGCCATCAGGCCTGGCATAGAGACATGATTTTCTTTTCTTTTTTTTGAGAGATGGTTTTCTTTTTCTTTTTCGTGGAATTGGGGATTGAACTCAGGCCTTGTGCTTGCCAGGGAAGCACTTAGTCTACTGAGCCATCTCCCCAGCCCCAATTCCAGTGTTTCTGTATCACAAACTGAGTATTGATTTCTTGGAGAAGCCAGAATTTATTGCAGAGACTTCTTCAGACAATTGAAACAGTGTACCACTGAGCTCTGACCCCCTTGCAGATAGCCAGCTTATATAAGTCAGCGTAATAGCTCAATGTTTGCATGAGAGATACTTCATTGTATTATTTATACATTAAACTTTTTAGCCCTTTTAAAATACCATTACAGGGGCCGGGGAGATGGCTCAGTAGACTAAGTACTTCCCTGGCAAGCACAAGGCCTGAATTCAATCCGCGGTTCCGCAAAAAAAGTAAAATAAAACTGCTAAGCATTTAAAAATTTTTTTAAAAACCCCATTATATAAGTCCAGCATTGGTTACGTCTCTACAAAATTATGTGGATATAGGATATTTAGAAACTAAGCAGCCCCCATGCGGGACAGGGCAGGAATGCTGCCCTGCTTATCTCCACTGTTTCAGCCCCAACCTTGGGACTTTGATATGCACTGTTGAGAAAGAACAAAGGTATGGAAAGCATTATGCAGATATAACTGCAGGATATTTTCCAGCCTGTATTTTTCCAGGCTCCGTGAGTACACCTTCATTTTAGAGGTACATATACAGATTATTACTAGTGAAAATATACTTACCTGTTTATAGGAATTGTACAAAAGGGCTTATTTCCCCCTTTCAAACCATAACTATTTATTGGTGAAGTGGTACTGGGGATGGAACTCAGAGCCTTGTGCTTGCTAGATAGGCACGTATGCCACGGAACCCTCTCCCGGCCCTCAAACTGTTCTGGCCTCGGTTTCCCAAGACTGACTTCATGCTTGGTGTGTAGGACAGCTGACTGGAAACTCCTATTTCTGAGTGCAAGGCCACAACACCCCAAAACAGTGTTGTTTTAAGTGGGTTCCCCAGTGAAACAGTGAATATGAGATTGGGGTTTCCTGGCCCCAGCTGTCTTCTGGCCCCAAGGCATACATACATCTCACTTAACCCCCAGATCTGCAGAAGCCAAGTATCCTCAAGCCAGCAATCTGAGCATTCTCAGAAAGCTGAAGCTGGAGGATTTCAAACTGAAACCCGGCCTGGGCAATTCTTCCTGGGCGATTTGTTTCCATGGAGTTCTAATAAGAATTTCTGTGCAGTATCTTTTCACCACTACTGTTGTAAGGCTGTCACTTCCAGCCTGTGGTGCTCTGGTATACCAACTGCCTAAATAAAAAAACCATGTGAGTACCAGATCTTAGAAGAGTTATGTATCGTGATATTTTATAAAAGAAAGAGAAAAGGGGCCGGGGAGATGGCTCAGTGGAATAAGCGCTTCCCTGGCAAGCGCAAGGACCTGAGTTCAATACCCGGTTCTGCCAAAGGAAAAAAAAAAAGGAAAGAGAAAAAAATCCAGCCTGCACGGTGCGGGCGAACGGGCGGGCGAGCGGGCGAGCGGGCGGGGTCTGACGTGGCGCCTGCGCATTGGGCGCTGCAGTGCGGCAGCGCGTATTTAGCGGAGCCCGGCCGGGCTGCCCCCGGCGTCTCACGGAGGAGCGGGCCGAGGCGCGATGGAGCGAGCCAGGTGTGTCTGCGCAGCTCATTGCTTGCGGTCCGCCTTGTAGGACTCGCCGCGCTGCGTGAGCCCGGGCGCGAGGCCCTCTGTTCTGCAGAACCAGTGGCGACTCAGTTCTACTGCGGAGCATCACG